TTAATTAATTGTAAAACAATTTATAATAAAACTCCTGGCGAATAGAGATGTCATTTCAGAATTTTTAAATTTAAACAAGTTAACTCTTGAATGCACTCAATTCATTCAGAAGATTTAATTAATTGTAAAACAATTTTTAATAATAACAAGCGCAAGCCTTAGAAAACAAAATTCAATAAAAATTAAACAACTTAATATTAAAATTATACAAATTAGTTTAGATCTTTTAGACATTTAAGAAATTAAAAATTGAAATTTAGGACATTTAAAAAGTTGTAAAACAATAAATAAATAATTGAAAATAAAGCCTAAAAACTCATATTTAATAAAAATTATACTTACTTCATCTGAAATTAAACCAAGATTAGTTGAAACACTTGCAAATGCAGTTTGAACGGCACCCAATCAATTAAACTTAAAGACGAAATCAACTAACTTGCTTGTGAATTAAAACGACAGCAATCAACGAAGTACGTAGTGTTGGAAAACCCTCTTCAGAATAAGTGAAGTCGATTTACTTGAGACCTGCGAAGCCGTTGAGAAACAGCTCTTCCATCGTGATAAACGCTTTTTCAACCGCTTTGGGTGTCGTCTTTACTGCACGCTCCACTGCCGCCACCAGCACCTTGAAACGACGCTGAAATTCGTCTGCGTCGGTCTTTATTCTGTCTTGGGCAAACGTGAACACGGAATGCCAGACCTTACCGTTGTTGGGCGTGCACTTGTCCGGGTTGAGTCGAACAAAAACTACCGATTTGCACTTGATATCCTTGAGAGTGTCCTCATTTCGTTTGACCTCTCCAGTCGAGTTATAAGCCGCATGCTAGTTTTCGTCGATCTCCACAATAGCGCAATGTGATTTGAAATTCAAGAATCCATCCGACCGGCGTCTTGAAACTCCACCCGGGATGGTCTTGTTTAGCTGCATGACCGGATGAAACGCCGACAGCTCATCCATGAAGGCTTGCTCTCGAACGCGATAGTTCTTAACCCCAACGGGGTTAATCTTGCTGTAGCACCTGTAGCAGTGCGGTCGATTCATCAAATTTTCGCTCCGGTTCATCGTCTTGCACATCTTGCACCATGGCGTGACGATGTCCCTCTCACAAGAGCACATGTGCTTCGCACAGTGGCTGGGTTTCCCGCCTTCTACACCAAAGTACGCGATCGTCGAGCAGCATTCGTGCGTGCACCGAATGTCGTAAATCCTCTTTATTTCTGTACACTCTTCTTGTCCTTGCAGACCGCACAATAACTTGGCTTTCGTGACCGAAAGATGCTGTCTTATTGCATCCACCGCCTTGACACTTGTTCCAGAACTTTTCCAGTACGCGAAACTTGTATCCTCGCTGACGAGACGATTAATGCATGCAGCACACAATCTTCCCGCAGCAAAACCATAGTGGGCAGCTTGAATCCTTCTTGACTCATACATAGGTCACAGGATTTTGTTGTTCTGATCTTGTGAGTCATCGCATGCTTGATGCAATATTTGCTGACCTTCTTTGCCATGCGGCATCCCGGTTCTTGGCGCGAAATAACAGCCGGGACCTTACCCCCAACTTTATGCCGCGAAAACCGTTTGACTCCATCAACTCCCCAGCGAGCGGGCTACGCACATCCAGTACCACCCTGAAGCTGGAAACCACAATTCCCATTCTGGGGACAGAGGTTTTCCTTTCCCCTCTCCGCCTCACATGCGTGGCAAGGAGTAGGAGCTCCACCATGTATCCCGTACGAACAAACTCTTGAAGCCCCCGTTTTGCCACAATCAACGCAAATGTTGTGAATGATTGGGAGGCTTGGCTTTCTCCCAGTCATCGGCACGCAAAATTCACAGAATTCATGACGTCCTTGGTCTCCAAATGTCGCCGGGAGAACACATGGACGCTTTGAACAATTGGTGTGTGAATGTATTTTACAACCGGGCCTAGAATACTTGACCGCTTTCTTGCACTGAAACAGAATGTCCGGTGCGTTATTTGGGTATTCCTCCGCTGGTTTGCGAAGGAAATCCAGACACCGGCGACAAAGTTCCAGTGTCCCGTTGGAACTGTGAGTTGTGAAGTTCTTGCAATTTGTGACACCTTTGCAGCTGTCGTGGTCCTTCTTGTACCATTTACTTGAACGACACTTCTTCCTCTGGCACTTGACTATCCAAAGACCGGCAGGGAGCTTGAATTCATCATCTCCAGCATTTAATTCTCTGGGATCTTAGTTTCACCACTCGGTTCGTTTCCACCACCACACACCACCGATAATTCTCCACTTTCTCCACTCAAATCTATAAAGTGGTTAGCTCCACGAGAGAAATTATCTCGAAAGTCGCCAGTACTACACCGGCTTAGATGGCAAGAGAATGCTTGCCAACCGTTCTGTTCCAAGAAAACGACGACGACCGCGTACAATGGCCACTCGTGTGCCAGCCGGTCGGCCGATGTCAAAAGGACATACCCTGAGCAACGATTAAACTGAGGTTAACACAATTAGCATTTCTTGTGAACCGGAACATTTTACCTCTTACCAATTGTCCGTAAAAATAATCTGACTAAGGTCAATACAAATAGTTTTCCCAGACATTTTACATTTTCCCAATTGTCAATAAGAAAACTCTGACACAGAAATGAAACCAACGTAGTATTGCAGTTATATCCCTGTATTCATTTTTAAAAAGAACAGCGATGTCAACAACCTTTTCTACTCAAGACGCTCCCCCCACCGGCTTCTACCGGTTTTTCTGGTGGTGCCAGCAGCACCTTCGCAACCGAGGCTGGCAGCTGCCAGGTATTTGAGAACGTGGGGTCATCTAGGCGAATCCCCAAACGTCGCAGCCGCTATTCAGCGACTGTTAGATTCTGTGCCTCACGCCCGTATCACAAAGGCTCGTCTCATCGAGGCGTCTCGCAAGGGGACGGTGCAGGAGGAACAGAGTGGGTGCTGCCATCTGGAGCCGACCTGCAAGGACGACCAACCTACCAGATGCGTATGTGGTGAAGCGCCAGTTGGCTTTCGTGAATAAGAAAACTGGTTGATGGGAAGCGACCCGATTCAGCCCTGAGACTCATGGTCGACGACGGTGCGTCAGTGATTACGTCATCATCGGTGAGGATTAC